TTAGTTAGACTTACCCTGATTTCTCCTTCTTCAGACAACCACGTGCACACCTGAGTTTTGATAGCTGCCATTTCAATGTAGTGGAAATTCATCTTCAGAATTTTGTTCTGACCAAACATTTGTTAAAATCAGCCTCTTGGTCATGGGATAAGCTGTTGTATTTCAATCCAGTAACCTTCTAATCCTCTCATACATTGGGGCTCAATTCTATTTATTATTTATTTATTTATTTATTATTTATTTTGCTCAATTCTTTTATTTTTTTTAAATATTTATTTATTTATGATAGACATAGAGAGAAAGAGGCAGAGACACAGGAGGAGGGAGAAGTAGGTTCCATGCCGGGAGCCTGACGTGGGACTCGATCCCGGGACTCCAGGATCGCGCCCTGGGCCAAAGGCAGGCGCCAAACTGCTGAGCCACCCAGGGATCCCCTGCTCAATTCTTTTAAAGAGTCTTAAATAATAGTCATTGGATGTATTTCCAGGACTAGTTCCAAATTTCTTTTTAATAATTTAATTAATAAGGTACTTAGCAGTTCATATGCTCTGAATTATCATTCATGTCTTTGACATGCTGGTGTTCCTCTGACATCTTATTTATATATTTACAAATATAAAAATAAAAGAAACACTAACTAATATCATAATTTTATCAAAAAATATTTGGGGACGCCTGGGTGGCTCAGTGGTTGAGCGTCTGCCTTCAGCTCAGGTTGTGATCCTGTAGTTCTGGGATCGAGTCCCACATCGGGCTCCCTGCATGGAGCCTGCTTCTCCCTCTGCCTGTGTCTCAGCCTCTCTCTGTCTCTCATTTATTCAATAAATATAATCTTAAAAAAATATATTCGAATAACAGAACCAATATGCCACATTAATTCTATCAAATCCTGCAATTTCCAAGGTTGAACAGTGGTCAGTTAATTTAGCCAAGCTTCTTAGCTTTTCAGGCCTTATTGGTTCTGACAATAGCTACAATGTGATCCTATGTGAAAAGAATAAATCTTGGCAGGCAACTGAATTTGTTGTGAATAAAAACATGTAGGAAACATTTGAAAGTGGGTTTTCATTATATTTTTATGATTTAAAAAATTACACATGAAAGTTTAAAGACTCCAAGCAATCTCCTCATTTTAAAGAATTCAGTGGCCTGTTTGTATAAATAAATATTTTAAATATTCTTCTGAGTTCATAGCCATTCGATTTGGAGGTTTAAGTTTACAAAATTAAAAAAAAAAAAAAAAGGACATATACCCACATGCAAAAGGTATTTCTCATGTTGGAAGCTAGGACTATTAACTTTCTAGTAGAATGAAATATTTCTTCCCAAACAGCAAATTGGAGACATCATAAATCAAGTATATGTTACAATGACTTGTTTTACTTTTCTGAAATATTTAAATCGGGAAAACTACAGTTGTTAAAATCCCAAATCCTAAATCTTGAATAGAAAGGGCCTGTGTAAACTACTTTCAAATGAATCCATTTTTTCTCATCTATGGTAAACTGGTAAAGTAGTAGTCATTTAAACAATGCAAAATTCTGAGAACTTGTGGTGTAATAGATGTAGTACAGGATTAAAAGTCACAAAGCCTCGATCCTAGTCCTGATATTACTACTTATTAGCCAAAGCAAGTTTTCTAACTACTTAGTCTCCACTTAAAAAAAAAAAAAAAAAAAGATTTTATTTATCTTTTTGAGAGACGCAGAGAGAATGCACAGAGATGGGTGTCCACCAAGTGCAGGGGAGAGAGGGATAGAGGGAGAGGGAGAGAGAGAATCCTCAAGCTGACTCCTCAATGCAAATGGAGCCTGATGTGGGGCTCGATCTCACCACCCTGAGATCATGACCTGAGCCAAAATCAAGAGTCAGATGCTTAACCAACTGGGCCACCCAGGCATCCCTCCACTTTCTAATTTATAAAACAAAGTGGGTCAATTTAGGTTTTTAAGACTCTTTCTAGAGGTTTGATTCTGCACAAGTCAATGAAGGAACTTGCCCAAGTCATATAAAATATTAATTACAGCTAATATCTATTCAGTGCTTACTTTGGGCTAAGTGGGAGTAAAGAAGATAGTATGTAAGCTGGATCTGATAGGATGGAGAAGATTTTAATAGGCAGATATAGAGAACTGGTGAGAACATGGGGTGAATTAAGGCAAAAAAGATCGGAAAATGTAAGGTAATTATATATAACAGTAAGTAGTAAGTTTTGGCTGAAGTGCTGCCAAGTAATAATCTTGCAACTCACTGGAGATCTTAAAAGAGGTAGATTTATAGGCCCTTTCTTTGAGGATTCTGACTCAGTAAGTCAACAGGTAGGGCCGATGGCCTGGGTACATCTTTTCAAGCTCTTCATGTGACTCTGATGTGCAGGATGCTTTGAGAACCAGTGTGATACAAAACACAAGAGACTAACATGGAATAGGGCTGTAAACTTAAGTTGGGCCCACATCACGAAAGGTTTTATGCAAAACTAGGATATTTGGACTTAGCCAATTAGATCTAAGTTTTTGCGTTAACTAAAATTTTATGTTTTTAGAATATGTAGTATGTACGTGTAGTAGACTCTTCAAGAGGCCACCAAAGGGAATTCAATCTCCTTTCCACCTTTGACGCCATAAGTCCCACTCCCTCAATCATTCAAGATTTTTTTTTTTCATTCAAGATTTTTAATAAGAGAAATCACATCACAAGAGACATGTATTGGGAAAACGAACCAAATAGAAATACTTAGGATGACCTATAATGGAGGCAAGTTTCTTTCTTTTCAACAGAAGTGAGAATGGTAACTAAGGAGGACAAGGTAGAAGATGATCAAGGGTAGAAAACTCAGAACTATCCACATCAGGGAAGCAAAGATGAGTGAAACCAGGAGAGTCAAATGTCATGGAAACTCAGAGAGGAGACACTAAGGTAGGAAAAGAGGTCAAGCAGCATGAAGAGTGAAAAAAAAAAAAAAAGTTTCAGATTCTGTAATCAGAAAGAGGTCTTGTGGGGGTTGGGGGAGGGGAAAGAGGGCAAATATCAGACAGCCAGGAAGTTAGAAATGAGTAGTAGGTGGTGAGGAAGTGAATATAGTAAGTGCCTTCTCTATTCCTGAGTAGTCTGATAGTGAGATGATGATGGCAAGAGATGAACAGGCATATGGGGAAAAATGTAATGTGAATGGGCACCCTAGAGCTGGCAACTCTGTAGCTTTTCTGGTAGGAGAAGCAGTCAACACTTTTCAAGTAGAGGCAGATAGGATACATTTGTAGGGAGAGGAGATGGAGCCTAGAGGAAGAGAATAAAGGTACAAGACAGCAGATAATTGACTTAGATCTGGTATGGGAAAGAAATAACACCTATTTTATAACTGGATTTAGAAAGCAAAGGAGGGAGGTGTTCCTCCTGAGCCATAATGGAAGGGATGATCTAAGATATTTTGAGGTGAAGGGAGAATATATGGGTGTGACCCACAGCCTGCATTTTCTCAGGAAAGTAGATGTTCTAGCCGTCCCTCTTCTACAGAGCAATATTGCCTAAGTGAGGAGCCCAAAAACCTGGACACTGGACCAATATAAAAATATTCCTCCCCACCACCCTGCTCCATTTCAAGTTATTTAAAATTGTAGTTAGTTAACATACATGGTAAAATTGGTTTCAGGTGTAAAATTTAGTGATTTATCACTTATGTATAACAGTGCTCATCACAAGTGTCCTCCTTAATACCCATCACCCATTTTGGCTAGTTTTTTTTTATTGAGCACATACTTTATGGTAGTTACTTTATTTAATCTTTACAACAATGCTAAGAAGTAGGTATATTATTCTTCCCATTTAAAAACTTGTACCTTCCTAATCTGCTCTTCTTTACCCCTGATTTAAAAATTAAAAATTTAAAGATTTTCTAGATCATAGGTAATGAGAAAGTGATAAATCAGTTATTGGCATTTCTAGTCAAACATTTGAAATATTTGCAAGGGATACTTCCTAGAGGCAGGTGATTTTTCTAAGAGCTCAAGCTTATTTTAGAATCCTTCACTATGGGTAGGCAGAATAGCTCACTCCCCAGAGATGTCTCCATCCTAATCCCGTAACTTGTGAACAGGTTATGTGGCAAAAGGAAATTGTTACAGATAGAATCAAGTTTGCTCATCAGCTGATTTTGATACGGGAAGATTATCCTGGACTATTAGGGTAGGCCCAATATTAAAACAAGGTTTTAGTAAGTAAAAGAGGGAGGTGAGAGACAAAATCATAACGATGGCAGCAAAAGACTCCACCAGCTGTTGCTGGCTTTGAAGACGGAGGAAAAGGAACCAATCAAGGAATGTGGATGGCCTCTAGAAGACGAAAAATGCAAGGAAATGGACTTTTTGGCGGAGCCAACAATCCCTTGATTTTAGCCCAGTGAGATGTGTATTGGACTTGTGGCCTATGGGACTATGAGATCCTGCTGCTCGGTCATGCCCTTTCTCTTCAGACCCCAGGTACTCTCAAGAAAGAGTTGACATTTACATTTTAGTGTATGCTGATTCACCACCTACATCTTAAGTCCTATGTCTAACAGATTCTATCTATATGAAGAACGCATACTCTCTTAAATTTAGCAGCAAACAACCAGGCGGAAAGCAATGTTTTGGGGAAGGTGAATGATCACAATTTCAATCACTTGTGGCTAAAAATCTATTCATCCTGCACTGGTCAACCTTGACCATAATGAACAGTAAGCGTTCATTTGAGTGCTTGATAACCCCTTTTTATTCCCTTCCCTTCTAGTGACCCCTTTTCCCCTGGGCTAAAATGAGCCGTATTACTTTCCTAAAAATATTCTGTGGCAGCCTTAACTACACACACAAAAAAGGACTTGGTTGTTCTTTAAATTCAGTTTTGTTGACTTGCTAACGTTCCTTATTAAGAAATCGGTATTCATAAGCGGTCGAGATGGGCACTGTCTATGACAACGCAAGGAGGAACTTCAGAATTCTTACGTCAAAAGGGGGAAGTGCACTTACAGATCGGTGCTCTGTCTGCTCCCTACGCAGTACAGCTGGAAGCAGTTCAGGCTGGCCAGAATCTGGGACTGCAGAGTGCAGGATTCTCTCCCACTCTACAGATTCTCCACCTGCACTACGTTGACAGGTTTCCACTTTTTCTTCGCGACCTATCGAGTGGTGTCCTTGACATCGGTTTCCTGCATTTCACACCCCTGAGTACTGTAAAGTCGGGCGGCAATCACCGTTTGAATTCGTGTTTTCTGAATGTAAAGCGGCTGGTCTTCAGGCTACCGAGGCTCCCTTTGGGAGGGCTTACGCAGCCTGGCAGCAGGGGAAGTTCTGAGTGTGCAGAAACGGTTCCAGGGAGACGGGCAGGACGTTCCCCCTCCTGCAGGGCCCTCGCCTTCCCCTGGATGGGAGCCAAACTCTCCTACTTCAGAGGCACGGAGTTTTGCTCGCCACCCAAAGCCCTCCTCTCCTGTGTCGCACCTCCCTCCCTCCCTCCCAGCGGGGGCAGCGGGGGCAGCCGGGCCGCGGGGCAGCGGGGCCGCCGGGCAGCAGGGCCGCGGGGCCGCCGGGCCGCCGGGCCTACCGCTGTCTCTGCACACCCCGACGCACCGTCGCGGCGGGGCGGCAGCCGGCGGGAACCAGGACAACCAGCTCCCCGAGGGTCACGTCCACAGGGTCCCCGGGACGGCAGGCACCGCAGGACCGTGGGGCTGGGGACGCCCCCGGGGTCCGCTCGGGCACTTCAGCTTCGCTTGGGGCAAAGGGCGCGCTGGCCGGCGGCCCGGACAACCAGCAGCTCCGACAGACCAGCTCCAACGGCCGCCGCAGACTTTGCAGCGAACCGGGCTTCCCGCGCCGCGGCAGGGCGGCTTGCAGCTTCCGGCTTCTAGGACCCGGTCTTCCTCCGCCGCAGCCCGGCCCCGCCCCCGGCCCCGCCCCCGGCCCCGCCCCCTCCTTTCCCTCCTCCCCTCCCCCCGGGGGTTCCATCTAATTGTTGGACTGTCGGCGCTGCACTCCCGCTGGCGGCCGGCAGGGGGCAGGGTTCGAGTCTGGATTTTCTTCCGCCGGGCGTCCCCGGGGAGGCGGTCGCCGAGTGGGGGAGGGGAGAAGGGAGGGCGGGACGCGCGGACGCGGTTCGGTCGGCTGCGGCGCTACTTTTGGTCCCGGGTCGGCGGGGAGGCTGCGGCTGCCGCATCAGAGCTGACGTGGGGGCTCGCGGGGCCGCGGGGGGCGCCGGGCTGCCGGGCTGCCGGGCTCGCCGTCCCCACCTCCTCCCGTCCGTAAGCAGTGACGACGGCCGCTACGTAAACCCCAGCGCGGCGGGTAAGTGGCGCGCCAGCCGGGACCGGCACAGCGGAGCCGCCGACGGCGCGGGGGGCGGGGGCTGGGGCGAGGCGGGGGCTGGGGCGAGGCGGGGGCTGGGGCTGGGGCTGGGGCGGGGCGAGGGGCGGCCGGGGGCGCGGAGAGGGCGGCCGCGGGGAGGGCCCGAGCAGCCCGACACCCGGGGCCTCCGGACGGCGGCGCGGCCGCTGAGTCTCCCCCCCGTCCCCCCCCGTCCCCCGCCCCGTCCCCCGCCCGCCCCGTCCCCCTCCCGTCCCCGCCCGTCCCCGCCCCGTCCCCTCCGTCCCCGTCCCGTCCCCCCCCGTCCCCTCCGTCCCGTCCCGTCCCCGCCCGTCCCCTCCGTCCCGTCCCGTCTCCCCCGGTTCCTCGCCTCCCATCCCCGCTCGCGGACCGCTTTCTGAGGCCCCCCTGTCCCTCCGGGAGGCGCTCGTCCGTCCCCTCGGCCCTCGCTCTAACCGGGCCCGAGGGGGACAGGGTGTGGGGGAAGCCGTCCCGCCCGGGCGAGAGCCGGACCCGCGCACCGAGGACGTCGGTCTCTACCGCCGAGGCCCGCAGTGCCTGTGGCAGTTCTGTGCGCTCAGGGCCCGTGGGACAGCCTCCGTCCAGGCCACCCTTCCTTCCCCAGAACCCTGGTTGGGGCCCGGCATGCGGGCGCCTTTAGTCTCCGGACACTGTGGGTGAGGGCTTGTGAGAGCTGCGGGGAGGGAGCAGGTCCGTGACGGCGGGGGGCCGCGCTCCTGGGTCCCGCTGCCCCTAGGCCAGAGCCTGCTGCCGGGGGGGGGGGGGGGGGCACATGGTCGGCACAGCCCTGGGTCCCGCTGCCCCTAGGCCAGAGCCTGATGCCTGGGGGGGGGGGGAGGGGAGGGGGGCACCTGGTCGGCACAGCCCTGGGTCCTGCTGCCTGGCGGGGGGGGGGGGGGGAGCAGCTGGTCAGCACAGCCCTGGGTCCCGCTGCCCCTAGACCAGAGCCTGCTGCTTGGAGGGGGGGAGGGGAGGGGGGCACATGGTCGGCACAGCCCTGGGTCCCGCTGCCCCTAGGCCAGAGCCTGATGCCTGGGGGGGGGAGGGGGCACATGGTCGGCACAGCCCTGGGTCCCGCTGCCCCTAGACCAGAGCCTGCTGCCTGGGGGGGGGAGGGGAGGGGGGCACATGGTCGGCACAGCCCTGGGTCCCGCTGCCCCTAGACCAGAGCCTGCTGCCTGGAGGGGGGGAGGGGAGGGGGGCACATGGTCGGCACAGCCCTGGGTCCCGCTGCCCCTAGGCCAGAGCCTGATGCCTGGGGGGGGGAGGGGGCACATGGTCGGCACAGCCCTGGATCCTCTGCCTGGCGGGGGGGGGGGGGGGGGGGGGGGGCAGCTGGTCGGCACAGCCCTGGGTCCCGCTGCCCCTAGGCCAGAGCCTGATGCCTGGGGGGGGGAGGGGAGGGGGGCACATGGTCGGCACAGCCCTGGGTCCCGCTGCCCCTAGGCCAGAGCCTGATGCCTGGGGGGGGGAGGGGGCACATGGTCGGCACAGCCCTGGGTCCCGCTGCCCCTAGACCAGAGCCTGCTGCCTGGAGGGGGGGAGGGGAGGGGGGGCACATGGTCGGCACAGCCCTGGATCCTCTGCCTGGCGGGGGGGGGGGGGGGGGGGGCAGCTGGTCGGCACAGCCCTGGGTCCCGCTGCCCCTAGGCCAGAGCCCTGACTCTAAGGTCACCGAGACACTTCCTGCACTGCTCAGGTGGGCAGCAGTCAGCTCACCGTCAGTTTCAGCAGCTCTGATTAAAACTGAGCGAGTCTCTCTTAACAGTATCTCTTATCTACCTCACTTCTTAAAATTTCTTCCTTCCAAGCCTGATTTCGCGGGCCGATGAGAATGCAGCCACTTCCCATTAAATAATATACACCTAGATGCCCGGCCATAGAGGTCTGGGATGAAAATTGCACCATACTGCATGCATGACTCATATTCTCTCTTGATTTTTCCCTTTGGGTACCACATTTTTCTCCTAGTCTTGATCCTGTTTTTGAATAACAAGCTACTTTGCCCTCATAGTGTTTAAATCTTTGAGCTTTTTTCTTCCAAGGAAGTTAAATTGCAAACAGTATTTTGGCCAATAAAAGCTAAGTATTAAAAAAAAATGTTTAAAGAACTGCTTCCTGATCCAGATACAACTTTAGAAAGATATTTAAATGGGTTTGATCCTGAATGAGTGACCACTTAAAGCATTGTCACATTAAGTGTTGGTAATGGCACAAACATGTTTGGTGTGAATCTCTAAGTAGATCAGGGTAAGCAGGCACTTTCCCAGTGACTCTCTAGTCAACCTGGAATCACTCTGGTGAGTGTGAAGTTGTGATTACACTGATGTTTTGTTTACATATCATAAGACTATATGAATAAATTTTTATTGAATGTATAAACATGGAGGAGCTCTTCAGTCTTTGTGTTTGCTTTGTTGGAAGGCTAATGAAATTTGCTTCTACTGATGAATTCAAGAAACTCCAGACTCTATAGATCACTTCAGTTTTCTTTTCTTTTCTTTTTTTTTTTTTAAAGATTTTATTTTTTCATTCATGAGAGACACACACAGAGAGAGAGGCAGACACAGGAGAGGAAGAAGCAGGCTCCATGCAGGGAGCCTGATGTGGGGCTTGATACCAGGACTCCAGGATCATGCCCTGGGCTGAAGGCAGGCGCTAAACCACTGAGCCACCAAGGGATCCTGATCACTTCAGTTTTCTTTTTTTTTTTTTTTTTTTTTTCACTTTTTTTTTTCACTTCAGTTTTCTACTGAGGAAAGTCATTGCATGATTAAAATATGAAATCTCTCTTAGGATTAAGGCACTTATATGAAAAGTAGGGAAGAGTTTCAGGTTAACACACATAAGGAATCCTGACTGAAACTTGACCAGTACAATACATGTATTTCTGATCTGTTTTCCCTAATTTGGTATTCTCTGCAAGTTAATATTGGGCCAGAAAATTGAGCCAGGTTTATTGTTGATGTAGTAGTCCATTGGAAAGCACTCAAATGTCCTGTTCCATTTAGATAGACTTTTAAAAGTAAAACTGAACAATGCAAACACTTCACAGCTGAACCACTGACATTTTGACATGCGATCAACATTGGTCATTAAGGAAATAAGCCTGAAATGTCTTCGAATGTCTTTACTGAACTAATGCATTCCATATATAAAAGTCAACTTTGAGAATTATCATACATTAATGCAATTTCAATGTTATCCATACAAATAGATTATAAAAATTTCAGGGAAAATGTTTCTTATCCATTGCACATAGGTAGAAATAAATTATTTAAATCATTTCGTTAATCTCCTTTTAAAGAATACTTAGGGCGTTTAAAATCTTTTACCATAAGAACAGTATAATAAAGATCACAATTTGTCAAAGTAAATCCTTTCACTCATGAGCTTTCCTTTTCTGATGCTTTAGAATATCCAGTAGAGAATAAGGGAGAATGGAAAGGAAACCTTAAGGATGATACTAGTGAGATTGTATCTTAATACTACTCATAAAGACAACTTGAGTCTTACTGGTATAATTCCATTACAGCAAAGTTTAAAAATACAGTATCTATGTTTTTTAATGTTTTTTGAACATCTTTTGATTGGCCTTCCCAGGAGTGTCAGAGGAAACTGTTGAGGAAAAACATAAGCTAGGAAGTTAAGTGGGAATTTTGCTTGGAAGAGAGGATACTTGCCTCTAGAAAACCTTACTTGCAGCTCTTTTGTGAGGCTCTTTTGAAGTATCCCAATTCTCCCAAAGTGGGAAGCATCTTCAGGTGTATTTTCCAAACAGTGATACAGCCAGGTCCATTACATATCAAAATCATGTGAAATTCTAACAACGGAGCTGTGTGATTCTGATAATTTGAGAATTTCCCAAAACCAGTGTTTTCTTTCTTTCTTTCTTTCTTTCTTTCTTTCTTTCTTTCTTTCTTTCTTTCTTTCTTTCTTTCTTTCTTTTTCTCTCTCTCTTTTTTCTTTCTTTCCTTCCTTCCTTCTTTCTTTTCTTTTTTTCTTTTTTCTCTCTTTCTTTCTCCTTCCTTCCTTCCTT